GGTCTACTGTACAATATAAAGCGCCTTGAGGCGACTGCTGTTGTGATTTGGCGCTATATAAACAAAACTGAATAGAATAATTCCACACCAGCCTATCAATCAACCAAACACCCAGACAGACGTTTAACTCATTTGAAAGCCTGATGCTTAGCCTTGTCCATCCCAGCTGTAAAACTCAAAAACCAGTCGTGTTCGTTATCATTTATTGTCCACCTGGGCCTTACACAGTTTCTGTCTGATTTCTCAGACTTTTTATCTGATTTAGTGCTCAGCTCAGATAAAATAATTATTGTGGGTGAATGGTACTCATGGCCATTGATCAGTGGTTGTTGATCAATGGTCATGAGAATTTGCATACTAATGATCAAGGAACCGACCTCTCTGCCCTTTGTTCCATCAGTGGTGCTGGTTTCAGTCATTTTGGAAATGTGCTGTTTATAAGATTGAAACCTGCAGTCAGCTGAGACTGAAGAAGTCACTTGGATGATGACGAAACATTTCTCCCACTGAAAACGTCCAGATGAACAGAATCAACTTTTGGGGAACCATTAGAGAAAAAATGACTCATAATCATCTCACAGATGTAATATTATCAACAGCTGCTTTCAGTACCATCAATGCTCATTTAGACTCTTTTTCTCCAATTGATCTTTCTGAGTTAACTTCAATAATTACTTCCTCCAAACCATCAACGTGTCTTTTAGACCCCATTCCTACAAAACTGCTCAAAGAAGTCCTGCCATTAATTAATTCTTCGATCTTAAATATGGTCAATCTATCTCTAATAATCAGCTATGTACCACAGGTTTCACCTTCATCGTGAACTTGGATGAGTGACGAAACGTTTCTCCCACTGAAAGTTTTAACAGCTAAATTACTGTAATCTAATAATCGCTAATTAGCTTCAATAAGAGAACAAACTCTCAGAAAAGAGTGTAATGTTACCATAGAGTTAACTCTACTGGTTTATATTGTTTTAAGCAAAATGCCAAAGAAATACACTAACTTAGTGAGTGATATGTATTTTGTATTTGTTAACTGATAGCATGATAGATTTGTTACTGATGTTTAAATGTGTCTAACTGTTGCTAGACACTTGGCCTATTCGCAGTAACTCTGGATGATGAAGGATCTTTGCTAGCAGTTAGCCTGTTACTTATCTGTCGTCATACTGTAGCTGCTAAGGAATATTAGATCTATGGTAATTCTTCTCTTTTACTTACAAGCTAAAGCTCTAAAGTACATCCATAGTTAACTCTTTGTTCAACTGTTTCCTTTATTAGTTTTCCTCTTTGTTGCTGTGAACTGAATATGCTGCTCTGTGTTTTGTGTGATATGGAGCAGAAGTACCAGCTTGCATTATCCCTTTGACATACTTATGGAGTGGTTCCGTAGTGCTGTGTGTGATTAGCAGCACTGTATGCTACTGTGAGGCTTTGTTCATTAGATGACACGATAAATGCTGCTACTGTAACCTGTAGCTTTGGGTTTCCTTCCATCATATAGGTTAGAGCTCAGATTTATCACAGGATCAATATGAAAACTTGACACCCCAGAGAAATAAAAATGAAGTATTAAAGTGTAATCAGATTACTCGGAACAGTGTCAATATGTAATATTTTCACATATTTCATTGTTAATTTTAACACTAAACTGAGTAGAATTGACCCCGAAAGATAAATGTTACAGTCATTTAGGACCAAAGGTTATCTGACAGACTTCACATCAACGGTCCAAGTGTGAAACTGTCACAGTGTGTGATGCTCAGAGTGTGTCTTCTTCACGCTCTCATGTTAGTTTCACTTAATATGAATCTGTTTAATCCAACAGTCGCTCACAGGGGCTTGTATGATGGTTGGGGTTACTCTGTGTCGTTACCCCACAGTATACAGCACTCTCAGCCAACTGCTGTGGTTATTTGGTTCTATATAAATAAAGTTTCACTGAATTGAATCAAAATGTAAATAACAACAGAGTCTGGTAAACTTCTTTTTCACTCACAGTAGAACAAAGGAGTCATATAAAGTCACAAAAGGCAGGAAACGTCAGTGTTAGTATAGAGACAGCTGGAGGAAGGTTGAAGAGTTCGTGATTGTGTTTTTAACCCTTAGTGTTTTCAAGCATTCAGGGAGACTTGGAGCAGCCACGCGGTGGCGCTGTTATTCAGGATCATGAAGGCAGATTACTGTGTTTAGATCAGGGCTGTGATTGGCTCCGAACGTACAAACAGAAAGTTTTATTTCAGAGAGAGGGCAGACGTTTCTGAGGGGGGCTACTTGTTGTTCAGAGCTTTAAAGTATAGGGATGTGTTTGATGTGATCTTATACGGTCATGTTTGTCACTGACACAGAACAGAGCCCGCTGATCAGCTGCTTGTCGATCACAGGTTTCGGTGTTGTGATTACTGGGACCTCCGAGATGCTGTGTCTGCTCCTTTTTCTGCCTCTGTGGTCACACATCGATCCGCTCTGCGTTGGTTATTCCTCATGTTTTTGTTTCGTCAAAGATACACGCCCCCTGGCGGCCTCTGGCAGCCTTACCACGCTCTGACATAATCAGCCAATCAGAGACGAAGTTTTGCCGCGTCCCATTTGATTGACTGGGGTGTCGGCGAATGGCGGTGCGCCTGCGCCGTTGGCCTGTGTTGCGGGAGGGAGGGGCTCCGCTCCGCTCGGCAGCACAGCGGAAGAAAATGGCGGCCGTGGCTGCAGAGCCAGGAGCTGCGGCGGTTCCGACAACAACAGCGACCGACGAGGGCCCGCCAGTGCAGGGCCCGGCGGGACCGGGTCTCCCGGGAGCCCGATCGGAGTGCGAGGGACCGCAGGAGACCGGGCCGGCATTGGACCTAGGCGCGATGCGGGCGGAGGACGGAGGGGACGCGGAGGGCCGCCATGTCAGGCCGGAGCTGGAGCCCGCGGCGGGAAACGCGCATCCGGAGAGCGACGAAGCTAGCGGCTCCGGGCCGCCGGAGCGGGTCAACGCGGACCGCTTCTCCCCCGGACTGCCCGCGGACCCGGAGGGCGGCGGAGACGTGTCTGCGCAGGAGGCGTACCGCGGCCCGGACCCGCAGCCCTCTGCCGTGTTCTTGCACTCATTCCCGGCCGCGCCGCCCGTCACCGAGGCCGGCTTGTCTCTGGCCGAACCTGCCGAACCCACCACCAACGAGACCACGGACCGAGCCGAGACCGCGGGCCGGGAACGGGGTTACACGAGCCTGGAGCAGGCGGAGCGGAGGCCCGCGACGGACACTGTGCTGGACGGGACGGCGGACGGTCCGGACCCGGACCCAGCGGGGCCCGAGGAGCCGGCTGCCCGAGGCCCGAGGGATTCCTCCCCGCCCTGCCGCTCACCGAAACGGCGGCTGCTGACCGAGCCTGCCGCCGAGGATCGAGCCGCAGCTGACTCTGTGCTGGACCTCAGTCTCGGGTCCGAGGTTCGTGTCTGCCTGGACCACGTCATCGATGACGCGCTGGTGGTGTCTTTCCGGCTGGGAGAGAAGGTGTTCTCCGGGGTCCTGATGGACGTTTCAAAAAGGTGAAACTTTATTAGCAGCAGGGGATGGATGTGATTGATTAGTGATTGATCCTGAGGTAGTTTAGAAACAATCAAAAATGATTATTTCTATTTGTCAATGTTTTAGGGATTTAAATGTGTCCAGCTCACCTGTATGAACAGGCTGTTGGTCAGGTAAACACCCCTGCAGGAGCTCCTGCTCCTCATTAAACGGCTGCGGGGATTGATTAGGCTGCAGTGTTAGCCAGACACACCTGAGCATCATTACCTGCTGACCTTTGACCTGGTTGGTGATGGACACAGGACAGAAGCAAGAATGAGAGTGTCTTTACAGCGCTCTGCTGCGGGGGGGGGGGCTAAGACACGTCACCAGGTGATAAAACACAGACCTCTGACGTCACTGTTTCAGCAGTGTAGTGAGTGCTGATGGATAATCAACCACTCATAACCTTCATGGCCACAGACACAGTCAGAGTGACACAGTCAGAGTGACACAGTGGTGTTTCCACAGTGGTGTTTCCACAGTGGTTTCTGATATATAAACACACACAGTGTTGTCGTTGTGCAAAAGTCTTGAATCACTTTTCGTTGCATGTTGCTGAGCGTTGCTGCAGAGGTTTGTCTGCATCATTACTTAAAGTCATTGTTGTCTGAATATGAGTAGGTGGGGGTGACTCAGGACTTTTGCACTGCATGTGTACGAGCAGTAATCACACATGTGACCGATTACTGCCGTGTTTTCCATGTGTGATGCGCTGGCTGCATCGGGGTCTCACGCTCGCCATGTTTGCTTCCAGGTTCGGTCCGTACGGGATTCCCATCACCGTGTTCCCACGCCGGGACGACCGGAGTCGACCTCCCACGTCTCTCCAGCAGCCGCTGCCGGTTAGCGACGACTTTCCGCCCATCAAAAAGGAAGAGAACGCTGCTCCGCCCCCTCCTCAGGACTGCACCTCTAAACCGCCACCGCTGTTTCAGGAGGGGGCACCGTACCCGCCTCCTTTGTTCATCAGGGACACCTACAACCAGGCCTTACCTCAGCCGCCGCCGCGCAAGATTAAACGGCCAAAGAGGCGCTACCGCTGCGAAGAGCCCACTTCCATCATGAACGCCATCAAGCTCCGCCCCCGACAGGTACTCTGCGACAAATGCAAAGGGGTGGTGGCGTCAGGCGGGCACCGGGAGACGCGGCGGGGGCCAGTGGACCTGAGGGGCGACGAGACTTCGCGGCGGCGGAAGGTAGCAGAAGGACCGATCTCTGCCGAGGTCAAGCGTCTGAGGAGCGACGACAAAGGACGGCCCCCGGCCGCCGACCGGCGCTCGTCATCAGGGATACGTGTGTCATCTTCGTCACCATCCTCTTCCCGCCGCGTGTTGAGGGGAGTGGCCTCATCCTCATCCTCGGCGACCTCGAGCCGCATGCGCCTGAAGCTGAACTCCAAAGGGTCAGCTGACCGCTCCAAGGCGCGGCAGGTGCTCAAGACGTTGGTGAGGAGCTCGCAAACGCCGCCGCCGCGCCGGCACAAAGACCAGGACCAGGACCGCCCCAAGGCCGTGACCCGAGCCGCCACCCTGCAGAACCACAACCAGAAGGTCCACTTCACCCGGCGCCTGCAGCACCTCAGCGCCGCCGCCAGCACGCCGCTTCCGCCCAGAATGCGCCTCAAACCCCAAAGGTATCGTACCGACGACAGCCAGGCACAGAGCTCCTCCTCCTCCTCGTCCCCGCCCAAACTCAGCGCTCGCTCATCACCTCCCAAACCAGAACTAAGCCCCGCCTCAACACCCAACCCATCCGCAGCCACGCCCCCACTTCAAGTAACTGCTCCTCCCCCAACGCCATCCTGTATGGGAAGCGTTGCCGCGGAGATGCAGGCAGCGTCTGAGGGGAGAGTAGGAGGTCCTCCCTCCTCCTCCTCTCTAGACTCCACCCCCTCAGAGTGTAGCTCCACAGACAACTTTGAACTCCCCCCACCCGGAGACCCTCCCTCCTCCTCCTCTCCCTCCCATAACTCCGCCTCCTCAGCTCCACGGTGCCCCCCCTCCTCGCCGCCCGCTGGCCCTCCCCTCAGAGCTAATGGTGAGGAAGTGCAGTGTGGCGTTGGGGAGGAGGGCAGCGACCTGAAGAGGCGCCGTAAGTCTTCCACGTCGTCTTCCTCCTCCTCCTCGTCATCGTCATCCTCCGTCTTCTCCAAGGCCGTTTCAAAATGTCCGCTCCCGGACGGCCGCACCGTGTGCGTCGGCGATATTGTGTGGGCGAAGATCTACGGCTTCCCGTGGTGGCCGGCGCGCGTGCTCGGCATTACGGTGGCGCGGCGCGGCGATACGGGGCTGGCGGTGCAGCAGGAGGCGCGTGTGTCGTGGTTCGGCTCGCCCACCACGTCCTTCCTGCCGCTCGCGCAGCTGTCGCCCTTCCTGGAGACGTTCCAGTCGCGTTTCGACAGGAAGCGGAAGGGCCCGTACCGCCGCGCCATCGCCGAGGCCGCCAGCGCCGCCAAGCAGCTCACACCGGAGGTGCGGGCGCTGCTTACGCAGTTTGAGACGTAGCATCGGCCGCCGCCCACTCGCCCCATCCTCACTGCCCACCCCTTTCAGACAGGCCCCGCCCTTTCAGAGGAGGTGGGAGGAGCTAAAAAAGACTGATGGACAATGATGAGTGTGTTTCACGTTTATGAGGGGATCTGTCAGGGGCGGGGCTATCTTCAGTCACTGGCGGCGTTTCAGTTTTCCGCACCGTGGGAAATGTTTTGTAGATAATTGAGCCTGATTGGCTGACAGAGCGATGATGTCACAGTATTAATAAACACTAATTAAGCTCCTCGTAGTGATTGACTGATCTGAGTGGCTGGCGGTGTGATGTCACTTCCTGTTGATAAAACAGACTGAAAACTTGTTTTTTTTCCTAGAAACTTCGTTTCCGTTCAGAATTGAATAAACTGTGAACAAAGCGAGGTCCAACCCGCGGCCCGGGGCCCCGACGTGGCCGTGCTGAGCCGCTGTCAGGACGTTCGAGGCCCCGGGCTGCTCGGGCGGCCCGACGCTCTCTGATGATGATGATGGTGATGAAGGTTCTCTGCTGTCAGACTGTTTACCGTCTGTTTGCAGATCAGAGAGTCCTGCTGGACAAAGTAACGGGAACAGTGTGTACATGTGTTGCTTCCTGTTTGAATCTGAATAAACGCTCAAACTTCTCTGACCTTCGCCTCATCATTTCCACTCTTCTTCTGTGGTGTTTCTCTGGCGGAGACCTTTCTCACCTGCAAACAGATGTTTGGTAAACGGGTCTCCACAGCTGCTCCCAGACTCCGCCCACATTTGCCTCTTGTGGCTGATTGGTCCGTTCGCTGGTCAGGTGGTGGTTAATTCCTTTAGTTCACAGATCCACAGACGCTGAAACAAAAATCCAGGACTGATCTAAACGCCCTTGTTCCCGTGAGTGCCACTCAGGTGCGTTAGTCGTCGCAGGTGCGTCTAGATCAAAGCTGAGGCTGGTGAAGCAGGTAGCAGCAGGTGGACGCAGCATCCTCACGTGTCATCAGCTGTTGTCAGACTCAGTGTAGATAAAGCTGATCGGGGTCAGTGTTTGAGAGGTCGGCATGGTTACCTGTAGCATCCAATCACTGAGCTCCGCCACTGAAAAAAGCATCAGCTGTCAGCGACGAAGTTCTTCAACCCGCGTGTCTCCTGGAGCCCACCTGATGGTGACATGGTTACAGAACTGTTCATGGTTCATACGTCATCACTTATCCGGTCGTTACGTGGTGATGTATGAACTGCGGGTCCAAACTCCTGCGTTTATTAAGCCTGTTGTGTTTTTAATGTGCTTTGTATTTTGTTCTGTTTGATCTGAACAAGCCCCTAAAAACAGTCAGTGATCCCTGTCGGCCTGTTTTTATTACCGCTAATCGTTTTAAAGCTCCGTTTAAATCCCTCTGATGTAACTGCAGCCCAGCAGCAGTATATTAATGACTAACCTCGTGTTGTGGATGGATTATCTCAGTTCTCCTGACTGAAGTTTGGTCCGTTTACAGCATCCTGCCATGCGATTGCATTTGTTCCTGACCATCGAGTGGAAAAAAGTTAGCGTTCATCCTCCAGCTTCACTGTGTTTATGCTAACATAGCTGTGTCGCTAGCGATCACGTAGCACATCATTATCTACCAGCTAGCCCAACTTCAGTAACCCTACAAACTGTTTAGTTTTCTGTCTTCATTTGTGTTGAAGTGACAGCAGAGCTGTACGTTTGAATTTTTATGTTTACGTGGAAACTAGCGAGCTAACTTCCTGCTAACTTCCTGCTAACTTCTAACCCTGTTAAATTTAATACATCCTGTTTTCATGGACGTTAAACTTAACTGTTGCACCTGGTAAAGCAGCAAAGCTGATTATTTTATTACAGAGGAAAGACTTTAGACAGTTTGTAACTCTCAGTGATGCTGCAGCGTTCGTTTGACCTGCAGCGGAGGTTGGACCTGGAAACAGCTGATGACGTTACATCATAAACAGCTTTCTGACCTCTGTGAACTTGCCGGCTCAGTTTATGGGGGTTAGTATCACTATGTTTAAAAAGGATTATCTGTGGAAAGCTCATTGGCTAACGATGTAGATGGCGTGTGGCTGGGCGGGTTCCTGTTGAAGAAGGAGACTGGACTTTTTTAAAGCTCTGGGGCTGGCCCCGTAGGCAGGTTGTTCATCCACTATCATCTTAATATTCGTATCGATGTAATAATAGTAACTAATTATTAATAATAGTCCAGTTGCTGTCCTTCAGCCTTTTAAGACGATGTAATTGACGAATCATTAGCCAATCAACGAGCAGTGTCACATCCGTTCAGTTTTAAAAATGAAGATGTGACACTCAGCACGCCTCTGACAGGACTTCAGAGACCGCCAGGTGATGTCACTGAAGCCACGTCCACCTTTGACCCCGTGAGAGGGCGCTGTGCTGATAAATCTGTGATGCTCGCTGCTCCCGGAGAGGTCAGGGGTCACAGTGTGTCAGTCTTCTGTCAGTCAGCACCCACCCCTCACAGACCCCTAGCTTCACCATGACAACCAACAGCATCGCATCATCGCCACAGACGCTGCCAGCAGGTTAAAAACCACAGTCACGTTTAAAAACACAGCTGCGTGGTCAGGGGCAGCTTTCGGACCACAGCAGATACTCCAATCAATAAACTGATAAATCAACCAATCAACAGACTAAACCACTGATCAATGAGCAGATTGACAGGCTCAGGCTAAATGCTGGAGAGGCGGGTCCGGCTACACTATGGTAAACTAATCAGCTGATTCTTTGATCTCCTCATTCTTCTTCGTCCTTCAGGTGCCCCCAGACCCCGCCCACATTTGCCTCTCGTTTTCTAATCTGCCTCTGGCTGATTGGTCGGTTCGCTGGTCAGGTGGTGGTTAATTCCTTTAGTTCACAGGATAGGAGGCTCATCCACCTCCTCTGTCACACCGCCGCTCTGCGTGTCCTCCTTCACTGCATCCATGAACCTCCTCTGAGCTCCTCCTCCTCCTGCCTGCAGCTCCACCTTCATCCTCCACCCTCCCTCCTCTGCACATGCTCAGACCATCAGCTTCTCTCACTCAGAGCCGTCCCTCTGATCGTCTTATTTCTGATCCTGTCAAAAACTACAACCACTACTCTAGCTGATGTGTGTTGCTAGTGTTAGCTGTTATCAAAGATTAATAACTGTTATTGATTTGAATCATTATTATTGATTGAAAGAAAACATAGGTAGGGTCACTCTTCTTCTGTGTCCTCTGACTCTGCAGGTTTCAGCTCACCTGTCTCAGTTTGATCACATGATTTGCATTATTGACTCTCTAAAGCCCAGAGCTGGTTAACCAGTAAAAACTGGTTCCCACAGACACACCAGGACTGTTTTTTATGTAGAACCAGAGTTCTCTGAGTAAAATGTGAGTTAAATAGAGTCTCATGGACTCGTATTTTATTCACAATAAAAACAGCAGGACGATGCTAACCTGCCGACTGCATCTATCCAAAGAGTCCAGCTGCAGCATCAGGCCTGCTGAGGAACTCAGACCAGACCAGCCGCTGTCCTCACAGGCTGATGTTAGAGGGGACGCACGGTCTGTCCTGCCTCCACAGTTCTGTCCTCACTTTACACCTCGGACGTGTTTTCTGTGCTATTGTGAATAAAACACGAGATGTGTCTTTACTCAGAGATCAGCTCTGCTGGAATAAATTTGTCATTTTGTGTCTGACTCGCCACAACGAGGAGGCGCCACCTGCAGGTGACTCTCAGTCACTACATGTCCTTAACGAGCCACTCAGCCAATCACTGATCATTAACATATTGATCCATGCAATAAGTGAAAATGGTCATAACGATGAGGTCACTTCCTGTTTTTGAATCCAGGTTTATTAACAGGAAGTCAAAAACGAGCGCCTTGTGTCCGAATAGTTAATCAGTAGCAAGTATCACAGGTCAGTGAGGCTGAAGATCTCCTGTGTCGGGCACTCACCTGTTCACCTGAGAATGTGACACCGTTTGGTGGGCGTGTCCATGCTGGTTGCCAATCAGCACAGATGTGTAACACCTGCTTAACATCACAGGGGAGCTGCCCTGTCTGAGCAGGTGATCCTAATCAATACTCTCTCTCTCTCTCTCTCTGCAGCACAACGCTGAAGAGCTGCTGACACTGAGTATCCTGCGCTGTGATTGGCTGAGAGGCTGTGGGCGGGCCTGGATCGTCACATGGATACAGATGATTAATAATCAATAATTATTTAAGTAAAGAGTTTATATTTATAAGAAATGTATTGATCTGGTCTGAACACTGCCCGTTTCCATGGATACCTGGTTTGGATCAGTGACATTAAATGCTATAATTTGCGTCCTCCAATCAGCTGTCATTCCACAATCAGCCAATAACTAATCAGCTCGTAGCTTAAGGAGTGATGTCACCGAGATTTACAGACTTTACTGCTGCACGTGAATGCACTGTCCTCTTGAAGACTCACCTGGCATTGAGGCTCCACCCCTCCACACACCTGAAGCAGAGATGTGTTAGCTTAGCTTGCCACAGAGGCTGCAAGCAGATGGACACTGCTAACATAGCAGCTGTAACAGGTGGTGTGCTCAGCTTTGATTGGTTAATGATCAGATGACGAAACAGAAACAGTGTCATGCTGTGACAGCGTCTCCACGACGACCACAGGTACACCTGTGTTTTACCTGGAAGTTTGCTTCTCACATGTTTTTATGTCTTTAAAATGATGCAAACAGGAAATTCTTCTTCTTGTAAAGTTGTAAACAAAATGCAATAAAAGGTTGCATGTGTCAAACTGTCTGCCCTCACTGGGTTATTGGACGCAATCTGCAAGAAGTGCCTTTTCTTTTCAAAGTGCCACATTTCATCAATGCAAGCATTTAATGTGAAACATTCAAACCTACAGCTGAGCAGCAGCAGCTGTACAGGTGAGTCTGAAGTATTACAGGTGGTTATAATTAATGGTTATACTGGGTGTCTAACCTATAGCTGAAGAATATCTAGTTATCAGTTGTTACTGGTTATGTTAAGTAACGTACTTGTTATACTGCTTGTTTTACTGTTTATACTGGGTGCATTTGGTTCTATGACTCTGGTTGTCTTCTGCCAGACCAGTTTTATAGGTCTGGGCTGTAATCAGGTGGGAGTCCACACACAGACAGGTTTATAATCAAGTCAGGGTCCACACTCAGACAGGTTTATAATCAGGTGGGGGTCCACACTCAGACAGGTTTATAATCAGGTCGGGTTAGGGTTAAAAACTAACCCAATTATAAATAATAATAATAATAATAATAAATTATAACGATTATAATTATAAACCTGTCTGAGTGTGGACCCCCACCTGATTATAAACCTGTCTGAGTGTGGACCCCCCACATGATTATAAACCTGTCTGAGTATGGATCCCAACCTGATTATAAACCTGTCTGAGTGTGGACCCCCCACATGATTATAAACCTGTCTGAGTATGGATCCCAACCTGATTATAAACCTGTCTGTGTGTGGACCCCCGACCTGATTATAAACCTCTCACACAGACAGGAGTCCTCGTGTGTGTGTGTGAGATGGTTAATAATTCCTGTTCATCTGTGTGGACTTTCACCTGAGACTCTAAAACTGAACTTTCTGTCTCTGTTTGCTGCTCGAAGTCAAACAGCCGCAGGTGTAATG